TAATTAGCATTGGAAACAAAAAAGGTCCACTATAACGAGATTTTATTATGTGTCCACTATAACGAGATCCACTATAATGGGCTTTGACTGTAAATTTTTTTTAGCAGTATAAGATAGATAAGTCACGCGAATTCAAATTTTTTCTTGTTCACGTGATTTATAATAGATTATGTTACACTTGGCATATGCGTGAAATATCTGCTACAAAAATAGAAAGGTATACCAGCAATTAACCAATTTAAATATAATTCTTCACATTTCTGCTTTTGATATATACTTTCTGCTTAACATTGAGGATCATTGTCCTTGGAGCCGTGGAATAACCATTACTTATTATTTGTACAATCTACCTAATCCAAAAAAAGTCTATTCCTGAATTTACTTCACTACTTACCGAATTACTTTGAGTACAGTGAGTGTCACAGTAATGCATGCAAAATAATTGGTTTTCTTAAAATTGATGAGTTAAATTTTCATGTAACTTTTGAAGAAAAACAATAACAACGTAAATTAATTATGCTAATTAAAAGCCATTGAACTACAGTTCACTCTCTCTATAACGGCCTGTTCGTTTTGGCAAAAAAAGGCCATTATAGAGAAAGACCGTTATAGAGAGTTTGCAGATCATAGTCATGTGATAAATTATAATGGTGATACAATATAAAGATTTTTATTTTATATAAAATATATTTTAAAAAATAAATGAAATGAATAAAATAAACGAAAATAAACTATTTATAATCTGCACACTTATTCAATATTAAAAAAGCTATCTAGTGTGGATTGTTGTTGTGAGTTAAAATCAATTTTTTTAATTTTTCTTTTAAGACCTTTCAATAATTTAAAATCATCCTCATTTAATTCTGATTGTTGGTCAATGTAAATTTCTAATGTTTTTATTGCTGACAAGGCTTCTTTACTTGTAACAGGTGGAAGTTCTTCGATTATTTCTTCCTGGCTTTCATTTTCCTCTGGTGGATTAATTATTGTAACTATGTCATTTAGATTTATTTCATCACTTACATGAGAGCCATCTATTTCAATGTATTCAGACGTGGATATAGGATTAGGGAGTGCAAGAGCTCTCTTACATTCAATGAATTTAAAATTGATGACATATTTTCAATTTCGTTGGAATTACATCATAATCAGGTAAAATCCCAGTTTTTTTCTAGCAGTTAACTATAGTTTGACTGGTAACTTTTTCCAAGCTTTTGCTGTAAATTTAATTGCATGTTTAATTGAAATTTATTCATATTCTTGACCATTTCTCTCTTCTTCATAATCACTAATTTTTTTTTGCAAGAAAAGCTTTTGTAGTTCACCTTGAAGCTGTTAATTATCCTGGCATCACATGGTTGTAAAAATGTTGTTGTGTTTGGCAGTAAGAAGTAAACTCTTACATTAGTTTAAATTTGTTGATTCAGAAATAGAATGAGTGGGAGCATTGTGACTGACAATAAGCACATTCAAATTATTAATAATTGAGTGTGACACACTGAATTTCTTAATTTGATAATGATTACCTTAGATCATGATTGTCAGCTGTTATAGACAACATATAAAACATATGAGAGAATTTTCAGAGGCTGGCCGTTATACACTATAGGAAATTTAATTAAGAAAACTGTTATATAGTAAGGTTTTTATATAGTAAAAATTTGGTTTCTGATTTACAGTGTGTTATAGAATGGAGGCCATTATAGAGGGGGCTGTTATAGAGAGAGTGAACTGTATTACTAATGTAATGTGATCATTGATATAGTAAGTAAGTAATGGCGCATGTGAATGGCAATCACGTGACCGAATACCACATGTGTCTCAATTATGATTGGGTAATAGATCCGTGGTGCCAAAAAAATGTTAATCGTACCAAATATATCCAGAATAATATGGCGTTAAAAGGCGATCACATGATTTGTATTAAAGGGCAATAAAAACAAACTTTTGCTGTAATCAAACCATTGTGTTTGTATTCTTTATTATCATTTGCTTGCTGAATTGTTTACTATTATTATGTTTATGCAAGTCAACTCAAATGTCAGAGAGTTATTAAAATCAAATAATAGTCTTGTTACATTGTAATGTTATATTAATATTTGTTATCCAGCTGAAGAAGGTTTAGACACCTTATATTTTTGTCCAGTACATGAAAAAGAGTGCTTCAATAGACATGTTATATGGGGCATGCTGCAACAAAACCAGACAAAGTGAACATTGGTATTACCAAAGATTTCAGGGATCAAAATTTAATGCAATTATAATTAACAATTTTATAATATCCCATTTGTTATATTAAGTGATATATAGAATCACCTCTATATAAAAATAGTTAATATGAAACTCATTTAAAGAATTACAGCACTATTAGAAGCATTCTAAAAAAAGCTCAAGGTGAAAAAATCGCACCTTACATCTTCAAAATAAATGATACTCAAACACTTGAGGCTTATCTAAGAAAAGAAAAGATTACTTATGAAATTTACCATGAAGAAAGAAAAATAATAAACATTAAGAAAAGAAAACAGAATGAGGGTGTATTATTACCTAACAAAAAGCAGAGATCTTTGAAAGAAGGAAAATAATCTTAATACAATATTGATTTATTTTTTTTATTGGTTATTACTACAAAAAAAATTTTCCTTTATGCAAACATAATTAATTTTTATTTTGGTTTAAAAAAACGAATAATCACACAATTTTCATTCACAATAACATTTAAAAAATGCTTACTTTCAATAGTGAATTTTTTTGTGGGTTGTTAATTGGAGTTTTCTTATTTTACTATAAACTTGCAAAAATCAATTCTATATTAAAAATCAAAAAATTGATCAAATAAATAGAACCAACTCAAAAATAAAATAAACAAACTTACTAGTGATAAAAAATATTCACAAGAAATAGAAAATCTATGGAAGGATTTCAAAAAGTTATTTGATAAAAGAATTGAATTGGATTCTGATTTTTCCTTTAATGAAATGGTCACTGAAATTCGTGAATCATTTGGAGGAAAAGGAGTTGCCACCTCTACTATTAAAAACTTTTATCAACGAAAAACAAATCCTAGGAGGAAAACAATAGAAGCCATTACAAAGAAAAGAAGAAAGATACGGAGAATGAAATTGAAGAAGATAATAAAAACAATAAAGATATAGATATTAGTAATAATAATATTATTGATATTTCTATTATTAGTTGAATTAAAAATTTTTCTTGTCGTAAATAAATTCCAAGTCATGTGCCCAATAATTTATCATTGGTCGAAATCATGCATAAATTATAACACGATCTAAATTAATAAAAAAAAATTTTTTTTTGAAATTAATTTTACAATCTTTTCTTTAATTCTTAAAAATGGCAACGATTGAAGAGATAAAAAACGAATTGAATAAAGCAGAGGCGAGATTGGACGAGGCAGTAAAGGAGTTAAAGGAGTGGGAGAAGGGAAAATACAAAGGAGAGAAGTTAAACGAGTTGGAGGAGGAGTTAATGGTGGGAAATTTCAACAAAGCAGAGAGAAAGAAGAGGGAAGAACGAAGGGACAAGTTGGAAAAAGAAAAAGAGGAGTTGGTGGAGAGCAAAGTTCGGTGGGAGAAGCAGGTGGAGATGTTGCAGAAAGCATTTGTTGGGGGTGAAGGTAATGAACAAATTGCGTAAAAAAAATATACAAAAAATTATTTTTTGTTCGTTTTTATTTTATTTATTTGTTTGTCCGCGGAATATTTGAACTATCATTTACAACTTTAACTAATTTGTGGTTTTTTTATTTCTTTGCTCTATCAATAACTTATTGGGATATATATTTCTTAATGTCCAATACCTTCTATCGATTTTCATGAAACAGAAGATGAAGGTAACTTACTAGAATCATTTGATTTTATATCTATGTATTTACAATAACTCAAATTTTTAACATGTATTCATTTTCAGTTCTCAGCTTGGAAGAGGTATTGTCGTGTATTCCACCACCTATAACATATTCGCCTAAATGTACTACATCAAAGACCACTACAAAGGTCAATGGTGACCCACCATCAAGTGTAATGCTTTGGACTGACTTTTTCGAGGAAGTGAACCGGTTCTGTTTCGACTAACAACCGAGATTCGAGAGGCCACAATTTATCTCAGGTAAAGTAGTATTAAATGAGGAGGATGTTCGTGTTGCTATTGACGTCAATATCTGTATAGTGTTAAATAGGCTTATGGGATCAGACTGCATATTTTCAAGGCTACCAACTCATACTACTGGTATACTGGATTTCAACTGCCATCTTATGGAAGAAACATTGATATTAGTAATTGAAGTTAAGAGGAAGCATATTTTAGAAGGTATCAAAGAACAGACTTTTCCTGAGTTTTATCAAGCAAGCGAAAAGGCAAGAATGGTGATTCAACAAATTTACAACTATATGGGAGAAAACGAACTTAGATATGGTATCCTTACCACTTATGATAATCACTGGTTTCTATGCCGAGAGCATACAGAGCTTTGGGTTTCAAAAACTCTTCCATTAGAATCAAAATCTCCGCCAGTACTCAAAACATATGCTTTTCTAACTCAACAGGCAAAAGAAAATCCTAATTCCCCTCATCCACTACAAGCTCATGGGGATAATAATTCATATGTTCTTCGATCACAGTCAAAATTATCTTCTAACCAATCAGTGGCAAATCAACAAACAACTTCCAGCACATCAGTGTACCAACAATCACTTAATCAGCAGAATTTTAGCTTTGCAGACTTTAAGTTTAAGAGCATACTAGGTGAAGGACGAAGTGGAAAAACACTCCTATGCAAGTTTCATGGTGATACAATTGCTTTGAAGAGTGTAGACTTATCAAAAGCCTCACCATATGTTCTGAAAGAAATGCAGAAAGAAGTAGAGATTTATAAAGACCTTGCTGATATTCAAGGTAAGTATATCCCAAAGTTGATCTGCTATGGATATTATGGAGGAAGTATGAGTTTTGTTATTGGCATGACCATTGTTGGTACTATGTTGTGTGAGTGTAAAATAACGAAACAGCAAAAGTCAAGGGCTATTAAAGGATTAAAAATGATTCATAAGCATGGCATCCTCCACAATGACATTCGGGAGGAAAATGTCTTAATTAATGATAATGGCAATGTGTACCTGATTGACTTTGGGATGGCAAGTTGGGAGGACACAAAAAAGAAGAGGAAGCTTTTTGAGGAGGAACAGTTCAAATATTCTAACTTGCTAGATAGATATAAAGTGTGATGAATTTCCAAGCCACATAAATGTCAGGTGGTTAGTTAGACTGTAGGATTATATATTATACATTAGCATAGAAACTTCGTCATGTATCACTAGCAAAGTTCCAAACTTGTATTTTTTCACATTCACATAACACTGCATATAAAACCTGAAATTTAATAATAAAATTCCCACTACTTTATTTGATACAAAAATAATTTTATGTTATAAACTACAATGGAAAGGCCAGCTTATGCTGGCAGAATTGTGGAGCAGAGACAAAGAGGGAGGAATAAAGCATATAACATGCCTGCCAGGATCCTAGACCCTTTACATTGTAAAGTATTGGCAGTTCCTTTTTTCTCCTTTCATCAAATAAGGTATGAAGAGTTCCAGTTTTTGCAAGTATTCAGTTCGATTGGTTTGTGAGGATGCTTGATATAATAGAATGTGAACTGGCCCATCAGTCTAAAATAAACTTAAATAGATTTTATCTAAAATTGCATTTGTTCCACAAATCTATACTTTGTGCTTCAGGTCTCCATACTGATTCATTTCACATATTGCTGAATCTATTTATTGTAATAGAAAAACCTACAAAGTGAACATAAAATTATATATATAGGGATAGGTGTATATGAAAAGTAATAATAAGTATAATGGTTCTAATGAATATCAAAAAGC